CCAGAGAAGAAACATTTCTTTATTTCTTAGGGAATCTGAGGTGTAGCCCCAAATCCAAATCCCAAGTATCTCTAAATGCAGCTTCTAGTATCTCTTTTGTTACTGAGACCCCATAGGAGGCCATTATTATTATTATTCCATTGCATAAGTATCACCAAAAATAATTTCATTGTAAAAAAGAGGGAAGTGTTGGGCATCAGATGAGTTGATTATGTGTATCGAAGCTCAGTGACAGGTACTGGGTTTTATTATACGACCTCCTCTCTCTGTTTCTTTCCATCTCTCCCTGTCTGTCTCTCTGTCTGTCTCTATTTATACACCTATCTATACATGTATATAAAATTTTCTAGAATAAAAAGTTTTTTAAAAAAAATTCTAGAGTCCAAATGTAAGATACCAAGTGCCTGAACCTTGGAGGGATTAGAGAGTTAGGATAATAGCCAGCAGTGGAATCAAACAGTAAACAGAGATTGGACCAGAATAAATTCCTGATGTCCCTTCATGTGCCTGCTTCAGTATAGTGAGTGAGATGGTACTTACAGTCAAAGGTTCAGAGGTAGAGCAGACTCGGGAAAATAATTGTCAATATAGCTTTAAAAACGACAAAAGTAGCTCTCAGATCTTTATTACTACTGTTCCAGGGATTCTGGAGACCCCAGGATGAAAGAATCTACAATAGACAATATATTGTTCTGTTCCTTCATGGACTATACCCAAAAAGCTAATTAGGATAAAGGGAGTAGCAATAAGTGAGGCCCACCAATAACATCAGGAACTAAAGAGTTCTGCTGGCAAATGGTCTTTCTCTGGAGCCTGCTTCAATGAGCAAGATCCTTTATAGTGTAGTATTCTTGGATCCCTAAAATTCTGAGCAATGGACCCAGGGCTGTAGAGCCCAGAGTCAAGGCCAGCCCAGCAGCAGTGATGATTTCTGCTTCCTCACTTCCTCTCTGAAAAGTCATGTCATGTGTAGTGATTTCCAAGAACTTGCATTTGTAAGGCTGCTTGCTAAATTCAGGGTTTGCCACAGAGCTACAGGAGTGCAGTTGTTTTGTTTGTTGAGAAAATGAGCTATTTGTAAATGGATTTCAACGCAATGACTTTCGAGTTGGTTCTTTGAACCAACTGCGAAACATTATATTTTTTTTTACTTCATGGTAATCTTTCTTCCACATCACCCCCAATGGAAGGCTGTTGGGTAGCACTTTTACTGAAAGTTAGGGTGATGTGGGAGAGAAGTAAAATTACACCATAGCCCAGCCAACTCCTTAGAACTGAACAGTAGCTATTAACACTCATGATGGAATCACAGAACTATAGAGGCTAAAAGGGTCTACACCTACTTTAATCCAACCCTCTCATTTAACAGATGAAGGAACAGAAATCCTATAAGGTAGGGCAATTGGCTTGCGATCTATCAGCCAGGCCAAGGCAGAGCTGCGCCTAACAATGAGGTTTGCCTCCTCATCGGGGACTCTTGCACAAAACTATACTGTTGCCATGGTTCTGAAGCTAACAAGTCAGAGCGATTAGAGGTGCTTAGGGATGGATGAATGCACAGCATCAAACAATAGCTCTCTCTGGATGAAAAGAAAACCTGGCGGTAATTGAGACCTCGGAACCACAGCGAAGAAAGGAGTAAAAGGCTGGGCAGGCTGCTGCCCTGCCTGGGGGCAAGTGGGTGCAGAAGATGTGGAGAGGGGGTGGACAGAGACTTAGGTGAGGCCCTGGCTCCACTGTGTCCCAGATGGGTCATGTGGGACGTCCTTCAGTTGCACGACACTGTTGTAGGCACCCTGTGGATTTTACATCACCCAAAGCTATAAATGGCTTTGCATCATATAAAAAAAAAAATTACAGGTCTTCCACAGCCCACAAAAATATGCTCCACCCAAAAAAGAAGCCCATAATTTGGCTGCATCCAGCTGGGTTAAACAAAATTGGAGCCAAGGTTACCCTGTATTGTCCTGAGAGATGGCCTGGCATTAGCAAGAGGAAAGAAATGTAAAATTACTCACAATAGGCTAGATTTTCTCTGTAGGGAAAGCTCTCAGAGTTACACAGCAAGACCTTGGCATCAGCCAGGTAAGGTCTGCGTAGAAGCTGCAGGAAAATCACTTCCAAGCTATTATTTATAATTGTATAGCCTCGCACATTTGCAAATTGCCTAGCCATGAATTGAGGCAATTTCTTATAACAATTCTGAGTGGGAGGTTGGGGGTGTTAACCCTTCTTTTACTAAAACACCAAGATATTGAGACAAATACGCATCCACCATAAAAATACCTGAACAGTCTGAACAGTCTATTTATTTTGACCAGGGCTTGTGGTCTATGACGTGGCTCCCATTAGGATGACCAATGTTCCAGTGTGTCTGGGATGGAGGGGTTTCCTGGGATGTGGGGCTTTTAGAGCTAAAACCAGGACAGTCCCAGGCAAACTAAGACCGTTAGTCACCCTCTACACTGAGTGATGTTGCCGGTGCCTGGTGCTGATTCCTGGCCATTTCCGTCTGCATTTCTTAAATGAATATGGCTCTATTTTTTTTTTCTTCAACCTAATCTGTTTTAGCTTGCTGTATCTCAGAAGGCAGAACCTGAAATTGAATTTTTGTTGCCTTCTCCTGTTAGAAACCCTTACCAAAGCAGGTCTGTTTCCTTTTTTTACCAGCTGATTGTTCATGAGTGTTCATTTAGGGCGTTCACATGCCTACCACTGACCTCTGACATGTTTTTATGTGTCCTAAAGAGGGCTTGAAGCAAAACGCACATGGGAGAATGTGATTTTATTTTTATATTAAGTAATCTGATTTGAACACCATTCTCTGTCTCCCTGGACACACAGGTCACACTTTCTATCTGGGATATTTGCTTTGACAGGAGAACCTTTAAAGTTATAACATTCAGATGGCCCACCAGCTGGAGCCACAGCCCGTTTTTATCACCAGTCAGGAGGATAGCAAAGGGGCATGCATGCCAACATTTTTAATAGTAGGGTGTCATAAATTGGATGAAGTTTTCACTAGCATTACAACATTAAAAATCCAGAAAGGTCTAAGTGAGGCCATATAACCACTGGCAGGGCCTGCTGATGTGAGGCCTCAGGAGACAGGTTGGCGGGAGAGTGGGCCCCAAACACTTTGTGAGTTACAGGGACAACCACAGATTAGCCTTTATCGGCAGAGCTCTGTTACTAATACATTCCATTGCCCAGAGTGGGAGATAGCACGGCCTCTTTAAAGAAGGTCAGAGAAGCATAGAGGGTGCAAAAAAGGAACCACAGACACTGAACTGGATAGAGGGGCAGGTCAGACACACAGCTGACTTAGGTACCAATTTCTAATGAAGATTTTCAAGAAGAAAGCAGAAATAGGGTGCCAGGTAAGTTCTAACACCAGATTCCACATATAACTGGTAGAATGTCAACGGGACCTTACCCCAGGGAAGTAGACCACGTCCTCCAGTGAAAATAAAACACCACTCTTCCCCCGTGTCAGCCCCCACCGGCATCAGTCAATTTAAAGGCGCTAAATTCTTAACCCACCTGGGATCCCTGCATTTCTTGGTTTGTCATATAGAAAGGCCTAGAGTATTTCTCATGCCAAGTACATGCTGGTCCACAGAAGGCCCTGCTTCCACCTCTTGGGTGCCAGGTTGTCTCTGGACAACTTATTCTCCAAAGCATTCAGGTGTAAATGGTACGGATTAACACCATGGGCCTTGAGGAAGGTACTTAAAAGTTATAACAGTCTATTCTATGTCTGAGGTGACTTCAGATCAACTTGAAGTATTTTTTTTTTCTCTGTTGCCTGGTCCTGGCATGGTCCCTGCCTTGTTAGCCAGGTGTAATTGTATGCAGACATCTGTTACCCTGGGGAAAAGGACAAAATGGATCTTTCTGTGATCTGCAAAAGCCCATGAAGATGCTCCTTTATCTTAAGGGCATTTAGGTCTTGGTCCAGAACCCAGGTCACCAGTCCCAAGTCCTCCTTTTGTCCTGGGGAGTTTCTCTTTGGGGGCATCTGTCCTCTGGTGGATTGGTTCACCCTTACCTCAGCAGGCCCAAAAGTAATGTTTGAGGCCTGGCTTTGACAACCACAGGAACTTCCATGGCCCTGGAACCTTGACTATGCTCTGGTCAGCCTACAGCCTACACAGGAGGGGCCTCAGGATGTACCCTGCCTGGGCACCAAGAGCGTTACCTTACCATAGAACCAGGGACCATTGCATCAAACCAATAAGGATATCACCGCAGAGCAGACAAGTTCTGTTGGACTGTGCGGTGCCAGCCAATTTGACAACCTCTATTGGCCTGCACAGGCCATTTGTCTACCTCCAAAGTAATGACAATGGTTGGAATGATGCTATCCTTAGATTGGGTCAGCATACTCCCAGGACAGCTAGGAGAGGGATGGGGCACTGTGGTTGTGCAATTGACAGCCTCCCTAGGACCTCAGGGGATGGGGAAGGGTAAGTCCCCAAAGAAATGAAGGACTAAGTTATCAGAACATAAGGGGAACCATTTCTGGGTGAACTATTCTCTCAGTGCTCTCTCACAAGCCCAGTGTTTTTACAAGACCCCAACTTCTTGTTTAAAATAAGAAGCTGGGGTCTTGTAAGAGAGATAGACAAAGAGATAATATATTCCCCTTGCTCCATGTAAAAGATTAACATGATTTTATTACAACTCACTTGGAACATTATCCTATTGCTCCGCTAGTGGGAACACATCTAGCTTTTCTTTAAAAATATAGTTGAGTCAGATAATAATATAGTGAAACTAAATTCCTTTGTACTTCTCAAAATCAGGCGATTAATGGAAAGTACATCTGAAGAAATAAGTAAAGAAAACGGCACCATTTCCACTACACATAAAGGTATCTTTCACCAGGGGGCCAGGTGCAGTCACTATTTTATGAATTTTTATAAAATCCCAGAGTGGGAAGAGGCAACTATAGAAGTATGGTATTCTCTTTCTCCCTCTCTCTGTCTCCATTTCAGAAATTCAAGTGATGAAGCTATGGTGACACACAAGGAATGTCCCTGGTTGCTATGTTTATGCCCAGCATCCTGAAGATTCAGACAACTGTGAGTTGGAAGAGGAAGAGTATGAGGTAGGTTGGCTCTTTGAAGAAGTTCATAGTTCGAGTTCTAAGGAAAGGTCTTATCCGCGAGGCATGCAGGACAACTAGGTTGTCAGAGAGCTCTCTCTATCCCAACTTGTCTGGTCCCGCAGCAATAAGAACAACGACAATAATAAGGATGCGGAATAGGAGAACACCCCTCGGATTAGCGTGTTGATGAGAGAGAAGGACTGTGAACTCATTTATAGCAAGGTCAGAACAGAACATATCGTGGCCAAGCAGGAGGAGTTGGAGTCCATGAGAGCGCCTCAGGAATCCCTGGAATGGAATGAAATGCATTGCTGAGTTCCAGCTACAAAGCAGAGCTAGATGTTGCATCATCACCATGGGCTAGAACATGTGATTGCTTGATTTGAACGAATAAAGCATACCAACAACGAAGTTAAGCCTAAGTTGTAAAAGTAAATAAATTGAACTGCATGTGAAAAAAAAATGTTTTTGTTCTGAACAGGGCTTGGGAGAGAAGAGGCCTCATGGTCATAAAATACATGTCCTCTCACACAGCCCCCTTTAGCCTGTATCATTGGTGTTTTCTGAGAACAGGCAAGGCTGCACACTGTCCATCCACTTCCATTTGTCCAGCGGCTTTAGGTAAACAGCATTCAGCAATGCTGTGAAGCAGGTCATTTAAGTTTGTCTTCATCCTCCGACGGCCCAGGGCCCTGCTGTGTGCTGGTTTCTACCAGCCTGGGAGCGAAGGACGAGATCTTGGTCCTTTCACTTTAGCGTGAATGAGCTACAGTCATAACCTAAGAAGGTCAACACTGTAAACTTCACTCTAAATAGCAAATGAAAGACCTTGCCCCTTTAAAATAGAATTCTAGGTAAAGAGGAGCAGAGACAGCCCTTCCCAAGCCTCCCAGAATCACATCATACCTATTCCTAAAAGCACTCTTCAGAGAATCTTGTCATTTTAGGGCATGTGGACTCCAGGGAAAGTGGTAATTCCTATTTTTTACTCCCTCCAAGTTTCCACTGTTCCCAGAGGAAAGAACAGCCAAGGACTAGACTATAGAAAGAGGGTAGCTCACTAGAAGGAAAGGCTGGAGGAAAAATGGCCTGAATGCCACCCCATAAACAGAGGTGGTCTCCCTGGGGTCACTCTGTGTTGGATCTCTCTCCACTTCCTCAATCCTTGCCATGGTGCTGGTCTCAGTTTACTATGCTTCTCTGTCCCCCAGACTCCAAGGATCCAGAATTCAAAGTCACCCAAAGCTCTCACCACCCACACACAACCCTGGTACCGTCCCCTCTGGTCCAGCATCCCTCAGCGTCCATTATTATCAGCTGCTTAATTAGTTGGTCATAGCCCCACAGTGTTGAAAACTTAAAGCTAAAGATTATTGACCAGCAACATTTTTTGCATAAGTAGAGAAATATCACTGATATTCAATAATTATTAAAGGTTTGCCATGTTTACTTGATTTATCCCCATTTTTGTTTATTTTTTTATTTGCTGAAATACTTTAAAGCAAATCCCAGACATCACATTATTTCACCTCTGACTCTCAAAATAGTGACTTTTGAAAACATAACCACAATGCCATTACCACACCTACCAAAATTAACAACAGTGCTTAGGTATCACGAATACCCACTCTGTAATTAACTTTCTCTTACTGTCTCTAAGGTGCCTTTTTACAGTTTATTTGTTCGAGTCAGGACCCAAACAAGGTCTCCACATCACATTTGGCTATTATTTATGCATCTAAAATTAATTTCCCCATCCTTGGGTGGTTTCGCTTTAAGGTCAGTTTGAAAAGGCAACCTAAGTAGTACACTGCGGCATATATGATTATAATGCTTAGGGCTGTTGTTCCTGTCGCTGTTATGGTTGTTTGTTTTTTTCATCGAGATGAACCCTGGTGGTGTGTGTGGTGGTGGGAGGGGGCAGCTGGAGAGGAGCGTTAAGATATTGGCGTCTGAGGAGGCAAATGGCACGGGATTCTCTGCAGAAGAGAGACAAAAATAATAATTACAGCTAGCACCTACTCGATGCTTAGTACGTGCCAGCCATTGTTCTAAATGCTTCAGATGTAATTACCTCATTTTTAAAAAAGGTAACTGCATTGGGAGATTTGAGGTTGCTCGTGAAACAGGAAGAAAAGGCTGTCTGTCTGTCTGTTTTGGTTGGGTGAAGGTTATCTTAATGGGTTGCAGAGCTAGTGAGTGTGTCAGGTGAGGGAGCATGGGTAGCTGCAAAAGACTCTGAAGGCTAGCTGAATTTGTCTCTCCACTCCCAAATATAAAATAATATAAAGGGAATGTTTTTTGCTGCCAAAACGTATTCTTGGGAGGCCAGGGGAGAGGGAGGAGTAGGTTGCTAGTGGCCTTTAATCCTTTGTTCTGGACAAGTCTCATTGTTTCTCTCCCCCATCCCTGTCTTGTGTCTGAAGTCATATGTGCATGGTCCTGAAATGTCACGTCCCAGGCGGCCGCCTCGGTGATTCATCGCCGGTGGTGGTGGCAGAGGCTGGCTGGAATTACGTAGCCTGTGAGTAAGTGGGATTGTTATTCATCAATATAATAATTTTGGTTTCTTAGCCCTGCAATGGCCATATTGCAAAACTTGGAGGCCATGTGCTGTCTAAATACTGCTTTCTACACTTTAAGATGCTCCAAAGTCTGACCTTGAAAAGTGAGGATCAAGGCAGCTGAAGGTGGCACGAAGGACTCAAGGTAGAAGTGCTATAGGAGATGAGCCGAAGCATAGGGAAACCGCTGGACTTGAGGTAAGTCAGGGGTAGGGGTGTCTAGTGGACACTGTGGAGATAAAGTCAGGAACAGGCTGAGTTTGGTGCTGGGGAAAGCTGGGGCTAGACACTAGAATCCATGAGATCAATGTAAAGTTGAGGCAGTCCAAGGTCAGGTACCTGCTTACATTAGACTCCCAGGTAATAACCCCAGGACTAATCTAGCAGAAGTTGTTAAAATGAGGCATAAAACTAGGGTGACACTAAGCAACATAGAACAGTTCCTTTGGGTAAAATTGTCTGCTATCTGGCCTCCGTTGAAGATCAGAGAACCTGATATGACGGTGGGACTCAAAGGCATTGCTCTCTGAACCGAGTGTTGTCCCCTCAGGACCGTCCTTGTGGGAAGACGGTCCTGCACCTTCCCCAGCCCACCTCCTCTTGCTGTAAGTGTCCACACAGAGCTGAGCCCAGCTATGTGGCAGGGGGGCAAATACAAGGGAAGAATTGCTTCTCGTGGGCAGTTCCTGCTCATCTTTATTAACTGGGAAATAAAACAAGAAATCATTGTTGATGCTACTATTTAGGTGTAAGCTTCCACCATTGACTGCAGTCCTAGTTACACTATGCATTGGGCCTTTGAGAAAATACATGTTTAAGATGCATAAACGTCACTCTCTTATTTTCTGCCTTAGGGCCACAAATCTATATAGAGATCCACCACCCAAATAAGTAGGAATTTAAATCAAATGGGTTTGCACACCTAATGACCCCCTTCGGTGGTAGAAATGTTTAATGATAGCTTAGCTTATGGAGGCCCCAGTGACCAGGTTCCAAACAGTCTCAGCGGGGAAACCCAAGTCTTTTTCTTTTGGAAATTCTCAATGATATGTTTCCAAAGCAGCTGATAAAACAGTTAATTATAGTGAGGTGTTTGGGCTCCTCTGTAACATACACTTTCTCCTACTCTATGATTGGAGCTTCTTGTCACGTACCCTGAGCAGGATTAGCTAATGCTACCGTATATTTTCCCCCCCTTGGGAGAAAACCTCCTTAAATTACCACATAGGTAGAACTTCAGATAAAAAGGCAAAATCTAGCATGAGAGCATTCAGTTGATTTTCATCAGAAGTCTGGAGAGCTGTACACCACATTGCCTCCATTTTTCCAAAGCCAGGATCTTTCTATAGTGGAAGTTGCTTGGACTGAGCTTGGAGAGCTCTTAGCGAGTCAAGAAAGGAAAGCCCCCTTTTGGAAAGGTGGGCCATAAAGAAATAAGCAGTGAAAGGACCAAGAACTCTGACATCACCCTTGATTTGAAATGCGCAGAATCAGTTCTTAGTGGCCTTGGTGGGAATTGGCTCTCCATCTGACAGAGAATGATGAAAAGTTGATTCAATTCAATACAGGCTCATATATCCAACTGCTTACTCAACATCAACATTGGGAGGTTAAATGGATATCTCAAACATGTCCCAAACTAAACTTCCAGTCTCTGGGCCACCCATCTCCCTGCTTCTCACCACCAACCTGCTTCCACTGCACTTTTCCCCATTTCACTTGATGGCAACTCAACCTTCCAGTGACTCAGGCCAGAAACACGGTTGCTATCTCCAGGGCAGTGAATCTTACTGGCTCCTGCCTGACTCCCCTGCCCCCTTTGGCTTCTACATATATAGGAAGTTAAAGCTGAAAAGGAACTTACAAGTCATGAGTCTTACCCTTTGTTTCCCAAATAAGAAAACTAAGGTCCAAAGAAGATAAGCGACTTGCTTAAAGCCAAGCTAGGGACAGGGTGAAACCAAGGTATGTTCTGCTCTCTGTGAAGACCTTTCTTTCGCAGAGTGACTTTCTGAAAGGCTTTGTGACAAGCTGGAGGGACCTCTGGGTCCTTGTATGCGTGTAAAGCTGGTGGGCAATGCTGGGGTTGTCAGGTGGCGCCTTCAGTAGGCCGGCCTTTTCCTTCTAGCGGCTGTCATCATTGCTGCATGATGCTGCATAGATCCGGATTTACATCATGTGGCAAAATTCACATGTGGAGAAAGGATGGATAGAAGCAGCCACAGCACACACTGGTGTAGCACCCAAAGGTTCCAGCGTAGAGGACCTGACCAGCTCCCAGCTGGTGTTTGCAGAGTGTGAGGTCATGGACACAAGTTTCCAGTCTCCAAGCTATTTGCATATAAAAGGGAGATTCCCAAGACCCTTTAAAATGCCCAGAGAGCAATGGCTGCTGCCATTCACTGGGAGCGGACAAGGACCTGGAATCTACAGCCACAGTGCTGAGGTCATTTCTGTGAAGACAGTCACACGACGCTGACTATGCTTAAGGTTCATATTTGTAAGAGACATTGAAACGAAGGGGGAAGAGGTCTCTCAGAGCAAGTCCTGGTGTTGGAAACAGGGCAAAGGCCTGACTGGCCTAAATTTGATGAGCGTTTGCCCTTCTGCCCACTCCTTTTAAAAAATCCTGGAAAGGCTTCTAGCCAATTCCTCAAACTGTTCTCTGGTTGATTCACACTTTAACATGGAGTCATTTTAAAAGCAATCCTATTCTGCGCTTCTGCATGACATTGGCCACGTCAATAAAGCGGACTCTAGAGCTGCTTTTCTACATTAGAATGCAGCAACATTTCAATTTGGAGCCTTGAGGCTGGTCAGATACCCCCAACTGCACAGAGTAGCTGCTCAATAGA